GCCGTTATTCTCAAACTATTAGAAGAAATATAAACGACTGCAAACCTGAAGATTTGCAAAGATAAGCGCGCCCTTTCTGAAATAGTGTGTGTACGCGCCTGAGCGTTTGGACTCGCACAGAACCCTAGCCTTAGAGCCTACGAGGGTGTAACAACAGCAGCGAACAGTTTTTGTGATCAGGCTACGAGGGAAGGGTGGGGGAGGCAGCGGGTGGAGTTCGCAACGGGGCTGGGCTCATGTTGTTTCACAGTGTGGTGACGACATACGTCCTTGGCTGTGAACTGGATCGCGCCACCGTGAAAGCCACATTAAAGAGAAGCTCCTGCGGCCTGACTCCCGTTCTGAGAGAAAGACTGAGTGCTACCGTCCGTTGGCAACGTTCTAGGCCACGGTTTTTAGCACACCAGGATAACCCCAAGTGCGTCAGCTCATTCGTAGTGAGGAAAATGCGCCGAGGTCACAGCCTAATCTGCCTTTCATTCTCCGTGCACCACCTGATTATCCGAACCGATCGGACAGCTGACAATGCTAAAAACATCCCGTCTGCGCGTACCATACACGCGACGTGGCCCACCACACCAGGATCTCGCACAAATGTGGACTATGTCAATGTCCCTGAAACCCTAACAGCAAGAATTGTAAAAGGTTCCGTCTCCTTTTCATGTGTCTGGAACACACCGATCTCTCACACTGCCATAGTACAGCAGGCGGGCATTTTTACTAAGAATATTTTCAGTGATGTCGACTCCTCTTAAGTGTGCTTATTCAAATTTGATTATGTTGTAGCTTAACCAGGTAGTTCACCTGCTATAGTGTTTGTGGGAGTTCGGTACTACAAAAACGTTTTTGTGAAACTGCCCCCGGTAACTGGTCCATTTTCATCTCCATTAACATAATAATCTGGGCTCGCATTTGGCCACTATAAAAGATAACTGTTGCTTGATTGAATAAATAGAGGATTTTGCGCAAATTTAAATCGTCCTAGCCATTAGGTTTGGTAAGTGCCTGCTGTTTAAAGATTGTCAACTTCGAATCTCAATTTTCAGTCATATGCAAAAGGAAGGTAGGAATAGCACAAAAGTAATTTCCCTCTGCGCACAAATTAGTTTACACACGCTTCCAGTACTGGTACTAGCTGAAAGTGCAGACCGCAAATTGGCATTTTTTCTCACATGTAATGCTTCTATGGCGGTCGAGCTCGGAACAAATTGCATAAATGAGCAAAGTAATTATGTGGCGTAACTATGAGCTAAAAGAGAACTTACTTAGAATTGCTGGCCACAGCCCCCACACACAAGCCAAGTGCATCCGTTAATTTTAACTAAATGCTTAATGATTAATAACAAGACTATCGTGGTTCACCGTGGACGTAAGGCGTTTTGGACCACCTGAAGCAAAATTACTCGCTGTTACAAAAATGTGTTTGTGGGGGTCTACTGCATAAGGCCGGCCATTACAAAGGCAGATCCAATGTCAGAG